GGGGGGGACGGCCCAGGGACCGCCGCGTCCCCTCCCTGCCCCGATTCTGGGGGACAGCCTGGTCACAGGACAAGCAGCAGCCGAGTGACCCTGTCCTGGGCCTCAGTTCCCCCTGGACAGCGGGGCGGGGTGGCACAGGGCTCGGTGGCCATGTTCCAGGGTGGGAGTCCCTGGGGGCGGGTGTGCCCAGGGTCACAGTTCAGCCTGGGGACAGGGCGGGGACAGGCGGGCGCACACATGGGTCGCATCCACCACGGGCTGCAGCGCCAGGCGCCCGGGCTGGGTCCCTGCTCCTGTTGGGGCGCGGGAGCAGCTTGGGGGCCTGGCCAGAGCGTCCTGCTGCAGCCGATGGCCGCCTGCTGTCCCCATCGCCTGGCCTCAGTGCCACCTCCTGTTCCCCTAGTCCTGTGCCACCAGGGACTTTCTCACACAGAACCCAGAAGGTCCTAGAGAGCAAACCCAGAGCCTCGCGGGTGCCAGGGGACGGCCCCCAGCCTCTGCCCTGTCCCGGCCTCTACCCTGTCCCAGCCTCTACCCTGTGCCGGCCTCTACCCTGTGCTGGCCTCTACTTACGTGGAAGGAGGCCGCGTTAGCCAGGGGCACCAGGATATCCTGGGGGCCCCCCGTGGGGACAGGCGCCAGGGACAAGGGCAGGATCTGGGGGCAGTCCTGAGGGTCCTGTGGATGAAGCACAGGGAGAGGGTCACGTCGGGATATTTTAGAAAACAGGTGCCTGGCTGCCTCCGGGCCTCCTGGAGTCCCGCTGGCCTGGAGGACCAGGGAGCCCTGAGGAAAGTCCCCCGAGGTCATGACATTTGAACGGCCGCCCCCTGGAGGGCTCAGGGCCACCCGGAGGCGGGGTTCATGGGATCCTGTTTCCAGATGAAGAAATGGAGGCAGTTCCTGGGCCTCACTTTTCCCAGCTGCAAAATGGGGCTGTGCCGACCCTGGAGGGCGGTCGGCCGCCCCGGCCCCTCAGCCAGGCCTTCAGCACGGGGTTTGGGGACAGCTGCGTGCAGGCCCCGGGGACAGGCTGTGCCCACTGTGCAGAGGGAACGGGTCTAGGCGTCGGGCAGGGACCAGGGACAGCGCGGTCCCTGCCTGAGCCCAGGAGGTGGGTCTCTCTGAGCTGGAAGTCTGGGGTCCAGCCTCCTCATACTCCAAGACCCTGACCTTCTGGGACCAGCAGTGACACGGCCAGACCCTGGGGAGGGAGGCCCCTCAGCTGACCACAGGCCTCAGGTGCAGGCAGGGAGGATGGAGTCTGCTGTGTGTGCTCACACTAGCTGCTGTCCCTCTCTGGGCCTCGTTTTCATTCTCATCATGGGGCCTTTTGAGGCAAAGCCACAGGACAGACGGGCCCCAGGGGAGCAGTAGGCCCGGCTGCTGCCCCGCGCAGGCTCAGGAACGTGTGCAAACCCCGTGGAATTTCAGAGAAGGGAGGCCACATGTTTCCAATCCGCCTCGCGGCGGCTGCCAGGTCTGCTTCGCAGCTGGCCGGGGGCCCGGCGACTGTCCCGGGCCCCACCCCCTCGTGGTGAGGTGGCCCACAGGGGGGTGCAGGGGGCCGGGCGGGAGGCCTCCCAAGAGGGCCCCCATGCTGAGTGGTATGGAACCCCCCTGGGGCCCCCCTGCTCCCCTGAGCTGTGTGACAAGCTCTTCTAGTGCCTGCGCCACCCCAGTCCCTGTGTCCCCAAGACTGGCCTGGCCTTTGGGGGACCCCCTCCCAGCCTGCGGTCTTGGAGCCTGGCCCTGCTCTTGCACCCCAGGGACAGGGGAGCCCCAGGCCCCCCCTCATTCCAGACGAATCCATGAGAAAGATGATCTTCCAGTTTCCTGGGGCTGGGCAGGAGGGGGGATAAGGACACTGCCTTGTCACCAAGGAGCAAGAGCCTTCCTGAGCAGGGCGCCCCCTCCAGAGAGACCGGGAGGCCCCCCAGAGACTGTTGGAGCTCCTGGATCCAGCTGTGCCTGAAGGTGGCTCCCTCCCTCAGAGGAGCCAATGAACTCTGCGGGCCGGAAGCCAGCCGGCTTGGTGTCTTGCCTGCACGCAACCCAGAGCGCTGGCCCTCCTGTCCCTGCACAAGCCATCGGGTGTCCCTCTGCTGCAGCATGGGACAGGGCCGGGCCTTGGGAAGCCACGGCTGACTACCTCCAGGGCAGAGCTGAGGAGGCAGAGGAGGGGAGAGGGGCCCGGAGCCAGATGTGGGCCCAGATGTGGCCCAGCCTGCTCCAGTCACAGCTCCCAGGGGGCAGAGCTGGGGTGGCCCCAGGCCCCGCACCCCCAAAGCCGGCGCTCTCTGCCCTCATACGGGCTGCACCCCACTTCCTTCCCGGGGGGACCCCGGGGGTGTAGCAGGAGGTGAGGCTCTGGGGACCCCCTCTCTCCGGGAGGTGCCTCTCCCCCCCCAGCTCCCCAGGGTCCAGGGGGAGAGCAGAGCCCGCTGCCCGCCGGCTGCCCGGAGGAGCCTGGCGCCTCTGTGGCTAATTGGCACTTAATTAAAGGCCAAATTGAGCCTCAGTGAGAGCCTGGAGCAGGCCTGGGGTGGAGGCCGCCTCCTGCCACATCACAGTGATCCTGCAAGACAGGCCTCCCCGCACCCCAATCCCCACCCCCCGAAGAAAGGCAGAGCTGGGGTCAGCGGGCTGCTGGACCACCCACCCGGTGAGCTCCTATGCACCCGTCAAGGCCCCACCCAAAAGTCCCCTCTCGAGAGCAGTGTCCCCAGTCCCAGCCCAGCAGAGGGGCCGTCAAGCTCCCAAGGAACACAGCAGCCTTTTACTGAGCACCTACTATGTGCCCCCATACGTTTGGGGTGCTCACTCCGGATCCTGGTTCCCGACCACCAGCCACTGGGTCCCCACTGCCCCTGGGGAAACCGAGGCAGGGCTCCCCACTCGGTTCTGAGTCTGGCTGGGTGGTGTCCCCCCCCAGGGACAAAAATGCCTTTAGCTGCTAGGGAGGCTAAAAACACGGAAGGTTAAGAGGGACAGCGACCCAGTCCTGGGACCCGGGCAGGAAGGGGCATTCAGACTGTGGGTGGGCTCGGGTTTCCCAGAGGGCCGTGGGGCTAAACTATGGCCACGCTGTCACACCAGAAGCCTCATGTCTCGCACGCCTGTCATCCCAGCAACTTGGGAGGCTGAGGCAGGAGGTTCCTAAGGTCGAGGCCAGCCTCGGCAATTTAGCAAGACCCTGTTTAAAAATGAAAAGTCAAAATGGGTGTGGCTTCGTGGTTAAGCACCCCTGGGTTGAATCCATGGCAGAAAACAAAGGCACTTCACCTCTGAGAAGAACCGAGGGTGTGCATGGACCGTGGTCATAATCAAAAGCGAAAAAGAAAGAAACAGGAAGCAATGGGTGTGTCCAGCCGTAGGGGATTGGGGAAGCAATGGGGATGTCCAGCAAAAGGGGATCGGCCCAATGTGGGCCCCACGCAGCTGTTACATTCAATGCCCAGGATGTGACGATGCGGAAATGTTCTCAACAAATTAACATTTAAAAAAAAAAAAAAAAGGTAATGAAACAGGGGGGACCAGGGCGTCCCCCAAGCCTGGCTTACCGTGGGGTTTGGCGAGGCCTCGCAGCGGGACTGGTTGGAGACACAGGCGTGCTGCTGGGTGCACCAGAAGCAGGGCCACGGTGCCGACAGACAGCGGGTGCAGCTGGAAGGCAAGGGGCACCCCTCAGACTTGGGGGCTCCCTACCTCTTCTCCTTGTCCCTGACCCCAGGAACTGGACCCAGAAAGCCAGTCCCAGTCCAGGGAAAGGACTTGGAGGGGTGGGGACACCGTGTGAGGAGGTGACTTTTGAATAGCGGAGGGGAACCATGGTGAGTGTCTGGGGAGCTGTGAGTGCAAAGGCCCTGGGGTAGATGAGACCGGAGTCCCCCCGCCCCCCGGCTGTTTGCAGGGACCCCCGTTTCCCAGCCCTTTCCCTGGGGACTCACGCCGCCTGGGGGTACACCTGGGCCACGCGGCTGCAGTCGTAGATGGTGAAGTTGGCCCAGACGATGTCGCGCCCATTGACCCTCAGGGCCATCTCCAGGGTCACGTGGTCTGCAGGGGACCAGGGGCGCCAGGGAGAGACATGGGGGAGGGGTCTCGGCTCACACCAGAGGCTGTGACTTTAGGGTCCCTGTCACCTCCAGGTGACAGCCCACCATTATGCCCCCCCAAAGCCACTGTGAGGCCCCCCGGGGGCTCACCCTGGTGGGCGGGGAAGGGCGGGAACTGCGTCCTGGGCAGCAGGTTGCAGTAGGCGATCTGGTGGCCGTAGGCGGGGCCGGGGACCCGGGCCACGGTGCGGATGTCCTTTCCGTAGTCACAGGCCATGTGCATGCCACTGAGGCTGGGCAGGCTGCCCGAGATCTGCAGGATCATGCCCTGGGGGAGGGGCCGCAGTTTGTGGGGGGCCTCGGCTGCCCCCTGAGCGCCCCGCTCCCTCCCAAGGGCCGAGCCTCAGGCCTGAGTCTGGTCCTGCCCGGGTGGCCCTGGAGCGAGGGACAGAAGGCCATTCCTGGAGGGAACTCGAGGTCAGAGGGCCACCCGACCTGTGACGCTCTGGTCCTGGGTCCCCCTCTGAAACACGGTAGTCGTCTGACCTCTGACCTCCTGGCCTTCATACGCTCCCAGAGTCTCCATCTCAACCTACCCCAGGGCCTTTGCTTCACCTCCGTTATTCAAAAGGCCCCTTTCTAACGAGCCGCCCTGTCCCCCTAACCTGCTCTAAAACGTCAATCCTCTGCCTCCTGTTTCTTTTGGGCAAAGTATTCCACACCTCGTGGCCATTTTATCTTGCTCATCCTGTCTCCCAGGAGGGCACGGCCGTTCCTCCAGGGCCAGGACTTGGTCCTGTTCATTGGTGTCCAGAATGGGGGTGGCACATAGTAGGTGCTCAATAATACATGAATGCGTGAACCCAGGATGGGTGGGGAGAGAAGACGAGAAGTCTGACGTTCAATCATGGGGGGGGGGAACCAAGGAGCCCCAAATGCTGGGCAGCCCCAGGCTGGGCCACCAGACTCTCCCAACCCAGCCTGGGCATAAGGCTGTCATCCCAGCAGCCATTGGAGGCTGGGGCAGGAGGATCACAAGGTGGAGGCCAGCCTCAGCAACTCAGTGAGGCCCTGTCTCAAAATTAAAAATAAAAAGGGCCGGGGACGGGGCTCAGAGGTGAAGCCCTCACAGAGGTCCCTGAGAACAGGCCTGGCAGGACCCTGAGCCTGGGCCAGAGTCCCCTCCTGGGCCCAGGTCCCCACCATGCTGCACACTGGCCTCTCTCTGGGAAGGAGAAATGTCCCGGTCGGGTGGGGACCCGGCGGAGGGAGAGGCAGGCAGGTGGGCCTCCTCCCTCGTCCTCCCCTGGCTCCACCTGCGGCTCCAGAACCTGCCCC